ATCAGTTAAGTAGATGCAAAGATAACTTAAGCTTATGACCGTGTCATAAATAAAGCCTTTTAGTGATTATGGGTAAAATAAAAATATATAGGTAAGTGAAACCGCTGGCGGTGGCTTGTGAAAAATATAACAGTAAACTAACTTGTAAACAGAAAGTTTAAATGACCCAAAATGTTTATGACAATTGACAGTTAACTCTGTATAAATATAAGTAAAAATATTTTAAAGTACCGTGACCTCAACTGACCCTACCTATTAACCGCCAAGGCTATTGTTTTTCCGGTTTACGTGAAAATACAAAAGTGCAAAAAAAATAAATATTTTAAAAATAAAAAATAAAAAATATATATATTTATTTAATTATGATCACCAACATGATATACAGTAACTTAAAAAAAATACACAATTGTACAAAGGAGGTCTAAATCCAACTGTTATCATACTTATAGGTAACTACGACATGCATTAACAGTTACACGGAGCATTAACAGTACTATAAATTATAAAAAAAATTAAGACCCGATTATAATTAGTTACGTAAAGCAACAAAAGAAGAAAGAAAAGAAAAAAAGCAATATCTATCATGAGAAGAAAAAAATTTTTCTTAATTTTATTCTATATTATGTATTATATTTTAATGATAACCTGATGGTTCAGAGTTCAACTTTCCTTCGGAGCAGCCTTTATACTTAAGGGCGTGGGTTAGAATTTAGTCTGCACCCAATAGATTATACAAGTAAGTCCATTTCATGAGTAAATTGCATGAATTACAAACATACAAATAACTACTATAAAATGGAGGATATTTACATAATTAGTGAAAATAAATAAAAAAAACTTAAGTCATATATTTTATATTAAAGGTGTACAATGTAATGATATGTATTATTCAATTATTTTTAACGGTTTTACACCAATTCTCACAGCCATTTCTTTATACGACTCTACTTGTGATTCTGGATAAATAATTGTGCCTCTACTTTTCGTGGTTCTCTCATTATTTCGCTCTTTATCTCCTGGCGCAAGCACCGGCAGTGATGGATCAACCTAAAATGATAAATATAATAAAAATAAACATATTTATCGAGAATAAATAGTAATGTAATATAGCTAATAAAAATAAAGTTTCCTAAAGTCATTAAACTCTTTCTGAATGACCTGCTAACATTAGTTTGTAATCTATTATTATGTATACAAAATATAAAACAATGTCGCTGTCTGCGTCTGTCTGTTTCTCTGCTTACTTCTTCTAAATCATGCTACGGATTTTGATTCGGTTTTCACTAATAGACAGAGCGATAAACGAGGTACATTTGTGTATATAATTTGTAAATATTTTATATAAAATAACTGAACCTAGACTATCTCCTAAGGTACGCTTTCAATAACTATTTTTATGCATATAAGACGTTCCTAGGGACGCACCCGAGCAAAGCCAGAGAGTAAGTCGGTAGTTATGTATATCCATACTAATATTATAAATGTGAAAGTATGTTTGTTTGTTTGTTTGTTTGTTTGTTTGTTTGTTTGTTTGTCCTTCTTTCATGTCAAAACGGCGTGATGTTTTGGCGTTATTTTTTGTGTGGAGATAGTTGGAGGGCTGGAGAGTGACATAGACTACTTTTTACCGTGGGATAATATCCAATTCTCTCTCTAACTCTCTTCAATAAAATGAAATAGATATGTGTTTCAGCATTTTTGGAAATTCATCATATAAGGTGGTAAAATAGGGGATGAAAGTTTGTATAAAACTACCTTTTTAGAGATTTTTTGCAGTTTTAGCGCGAGCAAAACCGCGGGTTCTGCTAGTTATAATATAATGTCGTATATCGATCTTCTTCTTACTTTAATTTACAGCCCCGAACAATATTTCGTTCTGAGCCTTGGGACAACAGAAAATGTTTCATGCAATAGTTTGCAATTATTATCCGCTAATTGCGGTAATACAGAGTACTATATTTTTCATTCTTTGTAAAGGTTTTAAATAAATAAGCTTCATAACGGAAAACAAAAGCAAATGTCATTTGATATTTATATATACTAAAATTAGCTGTAAAGTTTAGCTTATATACTACAGAATTAGCGTTTTTTGTTTGTATACTCGTATATAGTTTAGTCACGTCAAGTGGAGAATATGCATCAATGAAACTGCATCACACACTTGAGTGTGTGCCAAAAGAAAGTTACACTCATTATACCGTAATATAAACACCGTTACAGGTAACAGGATTTGTTTTTATTTTAGCCTACTTTGTTTATTAAAAACTCATTTCATTGTATTTAAATCGTAATTTTTAAAATTTTGTTACTTTCTAAACTATACTCATTATTTTCTCCAAAATTAAGCTGTTCTATAAAAATTTCATTAAAATTGTAGATTATTTTACTCTGTATACATTAAGCAACTTTTATTCGTTTCCAACATGATTACCACTTGTCTTAACTGTGAAGAAAAATATCGTGAGGAAACCTGCATTTCTGAGAGAACCTAGCAAGTTTTCAAAAGACATGTGAAGTCCGCCATCAAGCACTTCAATAGGAGTGGGATCAGGCCAGCGTGGTGGACACTGGCCTGATCCCACTCCTATTGAAGGGAGGCCCGTGCCCAGCAGTGGGATGTTAAAAAGGGCTGAATACATACATTAAGCAAAACCTTCGTAACTATGGCTTAAAAAGATTTCACAAAATTTGAGTTTTATGAAGGCTTTTATTATATACATATAGGTACTAACGACTTAGTTTTCGCTTCGCCCCTACATCCCTAGGTGCCTTTTTTAATTCGTGGGGAAACCTCTTTTGCGGGTTGCCCGTGCGCGGGGAGCGCTCGGGGTATGTGGGACTCCTGTCGCGAGAAGCACAACAGACTACCCACTAAAACCACCACGGTGATCCCTATCGCAAGAGACAGGGCCACGGGATCGCTTGTGCATTTGACTGCGATCCCTAGGTGCCTAACAGTAGCCTATCTAGGTCTACTACTTATTCTAATTCGTAGTCTTTGTACTATCCAAATCCGTCCAGCCGTTTCCGCGTGAAGGAGGAACAAGTATGTTTAGTGAAAAACATTCCCCAATCGCACCTTGGATGTCTATTACACAGTCATATATTGTTGAATTTTGCTAATAGGTATTGTATTGTGCTACAAAACTGTTCTTGATACCCTTTTATTTTCTTGATACCTTTCTAGACCACAGAGTACATAATGAAGATGCCGAAGCCAGGCATGGTTTTCGATATTTTAGTATAACACGATTAACATGTTCTTCGTTCTTTTGCTCAACGCGAATGCAGAAGTTTGTATTTTATAGTATTACTAGCATTGCCCGCGGCTCCGCCCGCGTTCAGATGACCAAAAACTAAATTCTTAGGTGTTACATATTAGTATACTCTTACATTGCAGTTTTTGTATTTTTCCTCAGAAATAAGATATTTTCCCGCGGTAAAAAGTATCCTAGGATCGCGCGCTACATCGCCCGGTTTATATAGCTTGAGCAGGCGGTCGAGCGATGCGGGGCAGAGGGGATGGACTCGCCGTAGGCATCTCAATGCTCGCCAAGCATTAAAAATGTTTCGCTACTAATTACTTCTAACAACGATATCTCAAAAACTATTCATCTGATTGATTTAGTGTAAAGAGCAATTTTAATCTGCATTAAATGACTAAGCTAACTAAAATATTCCATAAAAGTGGTTATTGTAAGTCAACCGTAAGAGATAGAGATATGCTATCGCGGACTTTTTTGTAGCATTTTTATAGATTTTGAATTCTCTAGTACATTACTTAACTGTATCTTTGCTAGTTTACGCGGCGTTCGCGTGGAAAGTTCCCATTTGGCGAGATTTTTTGCGACCTCTTCAACATTTGTCGCCGTATTTCAGCTAATTTACATAAAAGCATAATAAATTATATACCTAAACCTTCCTCAAGAATTACTCTTTCTATTGTTGAAAACCGTATAAAAATCCGTTCAGTAGTTTTCGAGTTTATCGCGTGACGCGGCCGGGGGACTTATTTTTATAATAAGTATATAGTATTATTTAAACGGTTTATACACCCTTTAAAAATAGAAGAATCAAAATAAAAACCTAATCACAGAAAAAATAATCACTGTTAGAGATTTAATTAACTACAGTTAATTATAACAATTATATTAATTAAACACTAATAAGCATGTTAAAGATGATATTTATTATAATTTAATATAAATAGCGTGCGTAATAAGAATTGTAATTAAGGCTTGATCCTGTAATAATTTTCACCATAAAAACAACCAATTAATTTAAGAATTTTGATCTCTGTACAGTTTTATTATTATTTAATTTGAATTTTTTTTTCAAAACATTGCTTAAAACAAAAAAAATAGCTAACTTTTCATCATTAGGTAAGATGATTTTTAATTTTGATTAAGTTTAATTTAAATATATATTACATTAATATTTTCCACAGCACCGCGAAGGTTAAGGCGCAGGACCGACGGCTTTTGTGCTCTCCGAGGCACGGGGGTGAAACACCGCCAACTTCCCAACTCCGGGCTGTTACTAAGAATTTCTTGACAGAAATACTCAATAACTAATCTTGGCTCGGACCGGGCCAGGATCTACATTGCTGGCCACTAGACCACCGAGGCAATGATTTTTTATTTTTATATGTAACTAGCGACTCACCCTCGCTTCGCTCGGGTTCGTCCTTAGCTTGCTTCCCAATGCAAACATTTTTTCCCCATTTTCACCCCCTTAAGGGATGATTTTTGGAATAAAAAGTATCCTATGTCCGTTCCAGGGTCTCAAATTATCTTTTTACCAAATTTCATCTAAATCGGTTCAGTAGATCGAGAGATTACCCCCTACATCACAAACTCACAAACTTTACCTCTTTATAATATTAGTATAGGCTATTAACTAGAATAAATCATCTTTATATCTCTACCTAAAACCCTTTTTAGTGGATAACTACTCTCTATCAGGAATCTACCTAGATAGATTAATTTCTGTTTACTTACAGGTTCTAACTTCCTCCAGTGATTTAAGCAATCAGCAATCCTTTCACCAAATCCCGGGGCGAAACATCCTGGATCAACAGCTACAAAGCATTGTCCTAGATTTGGAGCTTCCGTTTGTGTATGGGACCATGTTGGTACATTGTGAGTGGCTCGGGAACCTGGTTAAAGAAACAATTAAATTAATGATAGATAGATAGATAGATGAATGGATGGATGGATGGACGACGGACGGACGGACGGATGGATTATATATGGATAGATAGATAGACTTTATTGTACACCACAAAAGAAATATACAAAAGAAGAAATAAAAAAATAGTGATGCAAAGGAGTCGGCCTTATCGCTTTAAGTGATCTCTTTTAGGCAACCTTGAGGCGAAGGGGTAATTATTTTGGAGGAGTTCGTGAGTTTAAATTTGTTACTTCTTCACGTTATAATGGCTTAACGGATTTGAGTAAAATTAGAAATGGAGTTGACTTACTCGTACATATATCTAAATAAACGTTTTTTCGACGTAACCACGAGTAAATACTAATATGTTGATAATTTTTGCCAGCCAGCTCTCACTGTCAACAGATTTTCTTATATCGTTTAGAGAGATCAAGAGATGTAGCTAAGCTAGATGACGACATACTTTAATTTAATATTTTTAAAAGATACGGAAATTCACATCTCTTCGTTCACAATCAGTTATTATCTCACGGTAATAACATTGATAAATAGATAGAATTTTATAATCATTGTCTTTATAACATTTTTTTGTGTTAGGCAGTCATAATTATATTATTTTATATTAATATATACATAATTAAAATATGTATATACTCGTGAGAGAATACGCAGGGAATACATTTAAAAGTTTTATTACCTGAAAGTCCACTGCAAAACACTTCGACCATTGCACTGAGTCCGTAGCCTTTATAGCCACTTGTTTTCTCAAAACCTCCTAATGGCATAAGTCGTGCTGTATCGAACGCCTACAAATATAAAAGAGCAATGCAGTATTAATTTTAACGCCTGAATTAATCGAATAGCAAATATTTAATAAATAATTATTGACTATCATAAACTTTGTAGTATAACGTGTACGTAAAAAATACTTATTAATTATGTGAAATATATACATATATTTTTACAATTTGCACTTACAACTTGAGGATCTGTAGTAGTTTTGCCGTCTGGGCCCAAAGCCCAGCCTTCTGGTATTGGCTCTCCTTTCCTGATTTGCACTTCGACCTATAAATGTAATTTAAATAGCATTCTTTTATCATATTTAAATAACTAATTGTAAAAGGAATATTTTGCAAGATGTCATTTTTTTAAATTTTACAAACTTTTTCATTATTATTTTACAAGGTAAATATTTACATGTTTGTAATTTGTGAATTAAAAAAACAACAATTTACAAAAGCCGCTTCACATGTTATGTGCATAATGTATAATAAACTAAAAAAATAAATAAAATATTATTTTATTGCCAAAACTGTACTTATTAACGTAACACTAATACATATATATCTATTTTTGAACTTCATATACATGAATTTGTTTCGCATATTTTGAGTAAACTTTAATAATTTTAAGTAATGGAACAAAGAAGTAGTAAAGTAACATTCATACCTTTCCCATGGCTGCGGTTGTTGTAGCCATATCGACAACTATTGAGTCGCCGTCTGTCGCAGGAGCCGCCATGGAAATTGGATTCGTACCTAAGGCACTCTGAAATTAAAATACACGTATAGTATTTATATTTTTGTACCCACACGTGGCCAGCGTGGTGGACTATAACCTGACAACCCTCGTATTAAAGATTTAAAGGAAGACCCGTTCTCAGTCGCGGGACGTTAAAAAGCCTACAAAGGCTGAATACAATAAAATATTCTCGTAAATATTATTAATGATTTCCAAATAAATATATAAATTAAATACAAAATATTTTATTTTATTGCAAGTTTTATTTATATTAAAATACAATATTTAATTTCATTTCAAGTTGTATTCAAGCCACAAGTTAATATGGTAAAAATAAAATATACATAAGTCATAAAAGAATTGTATGAAAACACTAGCACTAAAACTCTATACACTTACATGTTTTGATCTCGTTGGTACCATAATTGGAGCGGAGTTAGTGAACGACATCCCAATAAAACCTTCTTTCTCAGCTTTCAATGCCCAATAACCAGCCATGCCGTAATGATTACAACCTAAAGAATTTAAAAATATATTTAATATTTAAAACTTACAAAATTATTTATAAAAAGGCGAAAGAGAGAACAAAAACGTTTTTTTAGACCTTTATAATCAAATCAAGACAATTTATCATACAGTCAAGATAGCCGATCTCTGAGAAAATGAGGACATTTACAAATTGTATGTAATGTAAATAGAAAGCATACTCCCAAATGACGCCCACTCATGTATGATAAATGTAAATACAAGATTTACGAATAAGAATACCTTGAGCGATACTCGAACCCCTTACCTACTGACTACTATGCCAAATAGCATGTATGTATATAGATAATTATATCTTTTGAATGACTCATTCATCAACTCCGACAGTCGACACTATCGGAAAGAAAGGTAAGTTCAAATAAATCTGACGAAATTTGTATGAATTTGTTTTTGATGCTTATATAATGCTAACAAAAGAAAAAGAAAGAGATCCCAAAAATGTATATATATACCAATAAAAACTTAAAAAAAAAACGACTTCCAGGCACTAAATTGTAATAAATAACTAAGCGGGGGTTTTCATTTAGAATAGATACCTAATCAGATATTTTCGAAGTCGATGCCAGTCGGTCCGGGGTTGTCAGTTTTATTGCCTGAAAGTCGGTTTTTTTTAAGTTTTTTTTTTCATTTTTAGTGTAGACGTAATAAGCGGGTAATTTGTAAGAAGAAAGTTTTTTAATAACATATTCGATTAAGCAATTTATTTAAAAAAATAATTTATTTGTTGATTTTTTAAAAAAAACCGCTTGACCAATTTCGATAAAATTTATATGGGACCACTTGGGAAGTATACCATTCGAAACGAAAAATATTTCCAAATCGGTTTAGGCGTCTTCGAGTAATCGGTGAATATACGAGTACATAAAAAAAAACAAAGATTCCGACGAATTGAGAAACTCCTCCGTTTTGGAAGTCACTTAAAAACTATTCCCATAAAAAAAAATGGTAAGTCAGTTTTTAGATAATAATTTGTTATTTTTACTGCGTATTCATAGATAGCGAGCACTGTTTACATTTTACGAGTTATTTATTCTAGTTACAAACAAAATTTCTTTTAGTTTTGCATTTTACTATATATATTTAAAACTCTCTCTAGAGAGAAAAATATTCTTTTTCTTATCAAAAGTTGAAACTTAGTATTATTGCTCTACGCGATAATGAAATATACTTCAATATTTTTAGTTAAGTACAAGAAATGGACACAGGCAAAACTGGGACCAGTCCCTAATACCCTATATACATATAGAATTAATAATATTAATCTTTCAAATGTAACAAAATCTTACGTTTTGCAGCAACCCATCCAACCCCGCACTCCTTGGCCTTCTTTATCGCAAGGTCCATACAGAAGTTTCCAACGGTAGCGCCTAATGCATCGCAGCCATCAACCCAAGCAGTTGCCGCTGTTTCCTTCAATATCACTGGCTCTACATCGGGATTACAAACCCCGGACTTCATATCATTTATATATAGTTCTGAAAAGTTATAATAATAAACATACCTAAAATTTATTCAAATATTCATGCTAAATGCGTCAAATATGAATGCGACCAACTATTTATTGAATTCATCATCATTACAATTATTTTGACATATTGCTTAAAAATTAAAACTCTTTCTAGGTCAAATTAAGATCGAAACTTATTTTTCACTCAATATTTGTATTATAGACGTTACTTCTTATAGAATTTTTAATATAATAAATATTTTGGGACATTAACACACAGCACCATCTAGTTCTATGGTAAGCTACGAGGCTTGTGTTATGGATACCAGATAGTTGATACACTACACATATATAACTTTAAATACATACATATTATAAACATAAACACCTATGACTGGAGTATAAACATTCATACTCATTACACAAATGAATACTACCAGCAGGTCACTACAAACTGAGCCAAACGTGTCGTCAAAAAAATTTTTTTAGCAACAATAAATAGTATGATTGTAAATATAAACAAAACAATTTCTTACATGATTGACTTAGGTATCACCTCTTGATGATGATAATCCTACTACAAAAGAAAGTATATAATAGTTTTGAGCTAGTTAGAGATTTATAAAAAAATAACATAATAACTTACCAAGTCTATTCATCCCATGGCTAAAATGTCCAACGATATCTGCATGCAATAAAAGATCAGCGTGAGCCTTCGCTTCTGATAGTGGCGCTCCGCCGGCCACTAGGCTTTCTACCATAAATCTTTCGGCTTCTTCTACTTTAACTTGAGGCATAGTTAACTATATTACTTCAATTATAGTAATTATAAAACTATTTTGTAATTTAAATTATTTTAAGCTCAGAAGTAAATAAAATAATAATACCCTTAAATACAATGCATCACTTCAGTGCTGCATTCGGAAATAAAACCAGTTGTGTAAGTTCGAAAGCAACCTTCGGTTTGTGCGCGACAGACAAACTGAAGGTAAGCTTTACTCGTTTATATATAAACGCGGTAACAAATACAGGTGGATATTTTATCTTATCTTTATAATTAGTTATATTATGATTGCGAATTTATTTATTTTGTAATTACATTTCCATTTAGCTAATGTTTGTTATCATTACTTAAGTATTACCTGCAAAATTAAAGTGTCCCCCATTTTTGAAATTAAAAAATAAATTAGATATAATGCAGCCAGTAATGTATTTCAGGCTGAAAACCTTATAATCTGGTTATATAACATCATAGTTGGTCTTTAATAGTATAAAATAATCTTATATATTTTATTTTTCACTAGTTACAACCTGTATGTTTGCATTTATTTGCTGAGTGTAATAAATCTTTGCCACGTTTTTAAAGACCTGTTACTGTACAGTATGAATATTCTATGCCCGTGCAGTAAAGCCCTATTAAAAACCTTTCAATCCTATTAGAAACTTAAATAGATAGAAAGGTAAGAGTGATTGATTCACCGTACATTTATGACTATTTATTTAATAAATATAGAATGTAGCAAATACTGATCAAGTAATAATTTCATTTTTGCAATAAAATTGTTCCTCAGATTTTTGTATCATATAGGAAGGAAGGAAAATTTTAATGAAAAGCTAAACTGCAGAATGAAAAATTTTACTTTATTTTCCTTGAATTTATTTTTACCAATAAAATTATTTACATATATGTAACTACTACCAAAAAAAATATGAGAGAATTACTCTTCTGACCTCGTAACACAATGGTTATATTTTTTTCATTCTCTAGTAATGAAAGTGAGCATATAATATGTACACACTGTCGTAAGTATGAGTATTTGAGGATAAGTACATATTAAGTGGCACTATAATTGCCGCCGCGATAGGCAAACTAAAGGAAACGCTAATTTCTGCGATGATATCATTTTTTATCAAGCTTTAACCATTACAATTAAATAAATTCAGTTATTTTTTATCATTTTTCTCTGTATAATTTTGAATTTTGTCCTACGAGTCCAACATTTCTGAGATTTAAAGTTTATACATATAATAAAATTGTAACTATCTGCCGAATCTGTACATTTGAAAATCTTATTAAAATAGACATTTTTATCGATACAGTGGCCGAATCTATAGCTTTTGGAATTTTTGTCTGTCTGTATGTCTGCTTGTGACCGTATCACAGAAAAACCATTGGGGTGGTTTGATGAAATTTGGTATGATAATAGCTGGTTATCTGTATCAATATATAGGATACTTTTTACTACGGGAAAATATCTCATCTCAGAGAAATCTATACTAAACGTTAAAACGTAACGTAACGTTAACCCGAGCAGAGAGAGGGTGAGTCACTAGTCTTTAAATATGGATCCATATTTATAAATATATTATTTAAAAGTTAGACTGAGTAAATAAATCGATTTCAGTTTGGTAAATAGTTTCACAAGTAACTGCATTTATTTTTTACCCAATAAACAAATTGTGCTTAATGTCCGCCCTTGAACGTTTCATTGATTAATTTCCTTATTTAACGGTTTTAAAGAAATTGACGTAGATAACTGAAAGTCTAATCAAACTCAAAAAAAAATTCATTATTTCTAATGAAAGAATTGTTTTTAATTTACTAATTAGACTTAAGTCAAATAAATTAAGCTCTGAAATCCAATTTGTTAACGTTTTTCTAACAGTGTAATTATAAATTTAACTAATATAATTTGTTTAACTCTAAAGTGAAATTTTGGGTGCGAAAGCTTAGAAAATACTTATATGATGTTAAATAAAAAATATTTTTCCTAGATTAAATTAATTAAATATTAATTAAATAAATTAATTACGTATGAAAATTTAACTGGTCTGAATATGTGACGAGGATACTTAATCTTTACTTATATTATATTTGCGAATGTTTCTTTTTTGTCCGTATGTCACTCAGCAGTATAGTATACACTGTCAAAAGTATGAGACAACCACAAAACTTTACTAAAAATAATAATAATTTACGAATAACCATTTTAAACATATAATTTGCAGCTCTACAAATTTTATATGAAATATTTTAAATAAATGTCATTTTCTTATTACTGATTTAAAAAAATAAATGATTAAATTCCATGAATGTAAAGATGTTTGTGATTGATGTTTTTTTTATTAAATAACTAGCCGCTTACACTTTAGACTTAGGAACGCATGAAGCACAAATATACAAAGAAAAATTCTCTTCTTTTGAGGCCTTCTTGGCCTTCGAAGGCATACGCAAAGTTTCATCACAATCGGATGAATGGTTTAGAAATACGTAGGGCACAAACATACAAAATAAAAAAAATCGTGTGTGTGTACTTATGTACGTACGCACGTAAGAAGTTATACTTCTTTGGCGTTACAGAACAAAAATAGCTAAACATTTTATCCCGTATGTCACAACTCTCTGTTTGTAAAAGGAATGCAGCTAACTTCATCATGTCGCTATTTGGCTGTCGATGTACGCCCATCGTAAAAAAATTCTCTCATATTTTTTTCCAAACGTGTCAAAACTCCAAAAATTTTTGTTTTTCTTAATGTAGATATTATGTAAGTAATATATTGTGTATATTGTAAATAGCGCGAGACTGATCTCGCTATAATGTTAACAAGACTGTTTACAGTACACTATGCAGTAGGCACACATTACACAAGATATCTATGTATGTCTTCTGCAATTGACTGATTATAATATGTAAATAACATTTTATAAAATGATGTAGTCTTTGATATTAAATTCAATATTTCTTTACTTTTTTATGGTTTTTCTATTTCTTAATTTAATGAAAACTTATTATATTTAGGTATAATATTATACATATCTTCATATTGACTTACTCGTCTCACATTTTGCTTATATACTCGTATGTATATCAAATGACAATTTATATTATTTCTTTATTTTACGTTATTTGCTTAGTTCAAATACTACTTATTTTTAAAAATATATACAAAAAAAAAGATTCCGACAAATTGAGAACGTCCTCCTTTTTGGAAGTCGGTTAAATATTTTGAATTTTTAACACTCATCATAAAATCATAATATTCCACTGTAGTCTACGAATAAATAATAAGTTATTTATTCCTAGACTGTAGCACGCAAATTAGTATGAATGTGTGCATTGTGTAATAATCTGAATTCGCCTCAAAAAATACAGGTATAACATGGCGGACTATGTTAATTTCTGGGCCATGTTTTTAATTGTTATATAAATCCAAAGTCTTTTTTATCATTATTAATCAAAACAAATAGGTTTAATATTACCTAATTTATTTGTTCATTTAAAATAGTTTTTTGACCAACTGGATTCCATGTTTCAAAAGTACCTTGTATCGACGGTCAAAATTGTTAAATATTAAGTATTTAGTATGTACATATATCTTTTCATTATTATCATTATATGATATCAACACTATTTATTTAAAATTAAGACAAAACGTCTTGATTATATTATTTTTGCAGATGATTGCTAAACAAAAATATTATCACTTTGTATAGGGAGTCCGGAGTTGAGCCGGGAGCTCAATCTACGACTTGGGCCTGCCATCGACATAAAAGTAAGCTATAATTTTAATTGATACAACTAAATAATTATCGTTAGTACGACAGCCAGACATACATTTTTTAAGTAACTTTAACTTCAATTACGTCACTAACCATTTACAATTGTTTAATGTTTTCAATCCAATTAATTTTATTTGTTTTTATTGTAAAACTGTACAGTGTACACCCCTTAAATATAATGTAAATATATAATATGTTAAGTCCATTGACTTTATAATAAAAAAATAAGTATATGCTATTATTACTTCATTACTCAAGTATACATGTACATGTAGTATATACCTACATACTAGAAAGTTTATTAACCTGAAGAAATATATCGCATGCAAATGTTAACAGGAAAAAGTGATAATAAATAGTTGTGCCGAAGTTAACTATTTCTTATTTGTAATTGTATATTATTTTCCAACTGAGTCGAAACTGTACATTAAATATTTTTTGGAAAATCTTATTGAAATAGACATTATTATTGATACAAAGGCAGAATCTATAGTTTGTAGAATTTTTGTCTTTCTGTCTGTCTGTGACCGTATCAAGAGAAAACCACTGGACAGATTTTGATGAAATTTGGTATGATGATAGCTGATTATCCGGGTCAACATTTATAGGATACTTTTTACTGCGGGAGAATATCTCAACTCTGAGAAATCTATACTAGGGACGAACCCGAGAGGGACGAGGGTGAGTCGCTAGTGTAGGTATATATTTGATGTTTGAACAAGTACATATAAAATTAAAAGTTTTGTTTGTAGTATAGTACTTTTTTTTAATGTTGGGAAATGCATTTACGCATACCACATACAGAAGGTTATGTGGGACTCACCAGCTCGAAAGCCAGTACCTAGTACCCACTAAAGCCCAACAAAACCTTCCCCCGTCTTAATGGGGCGTCCCAGGATCGCTTACGCATTCAACTACGACGCCCCGACGGCAGGTCTGCCGAAGCAGACCACAACAACCATGGGGTTGCTCCAAGGTCCACTCTGCTATCAGAGAAGTACCAGGAGCAACCCGCATGGTACACCGCCCAACTAATGCGTAAATGCATTTCCCAACGTTAAAAAAAATAGTACCTGAGCGCCCGAACTTCACTTGTTTTTTTTTTCGGAAAAGACCAATATAGATAAACTTAAAAAGCAAACCCTTATCTAAATACAAAATTTGATCCAAATCGTTCGAGCCGTTTACAAGATACATGAAATAAACTTATATAGTATATATACAAAAATTGCTCATTTATTATTATAAAATTTTAAATTTAAATAATTAACTAGTTTACTTAATTAAGTTGTTAACAGTATATTATGAGAATCGAACCCATAACATACCTACTTATTATGTTAGTCTTATATTTCATTAAAAAGGAAGCAATAAAATCGTATAATATTTCAAAGTGCATTATCAGTGGTTTAATGATATCGGTCAATACTTTTACTCATTAAACCGCTTAATGAATACCGCAGACGCAAAATTTGTGAGTCGACCAGACAGACGCCCAGTCTTGCGCAGTTACTACTACGGAGCGGCAAAGTTTACACGTGTTTGTTATAGTTTATTTTTGTTTTCTTCCTTTATAAACCTTGTTTACTGGTAAGTCTACTTTTATGAATGAATTTAAATATGTATGTAATATAATATACATAATAAATTTTCCGTTAAATCTACGTAATTTTTTCCTATTTCTGGATTATTTCCGCATAAAATTTCGAGAAGTAAAAATATTGATGCTACAAACAAACTATTCGTGACTCATGAGTGAGTTTTAAATGTCATCAACCTGTACGTACGTCAACTTAGAATATTTACAAAATAAAAAATCTAAACATTGTAATTTATACCTTCTTGTATTGTATGTACATATTTGCGATGAGTTTGACGTCTTGGTACTAATTTAAAATAGAAAATAGCTACGTAAATTACAATCTAATGTGTATATCAAATGAAATCAAAATATTTTATTCAACATTAAATTATTACAATTTTTTACTGAACGTCATGAGTCTACTACCAGTTCGAAAAGAAGAAGCCTCAGATAGATATCTCTATATGTAGATATAGCAAGATGTATACCAATCAAATAATGTAGAGCACGAATTAATTAGATAGGTACAGTACAACACGAC